TCTCATTTTTATCAGTAATCATAATTATATCATTATTTATTATTTTTCGAACCTTTCATAGTAAGCCTACCTATGGATTTTAAATGGTTAGGTGTGGGTACCTATTCATATAATATTGTCCCATGCTTTGAAATAGCATTAATTCACCCTCATCGTATAAATGTGTATGTTTGTTCTCTTGTTTATACCTATATACTTTCCAACGCTTAAACTACAACAATCTCCATGATAATCGATGATATTGATTTCTAGAATAATAGTCATAGCATATTGTTTTATATGGATGTACTTGTAAAGTGACACTTCCTGTGGGCATATTTGCAATTATGCAAGTGCAACAGTGGTAGCTGAAATTACTTGAACCTACATGTATTCAATATTTAGATTCGAGAATAATCAAAATTTTCTGGAAGAATACCGGAATATCTTCCCTTAGAAAAAGTGATGGATTGCCGCTCGACAAAGATAAGTATGGTCAACAGGGGTGAAACGGATATAGTGGGGTGAGGAAGATCATAGTGTAGTTTCATGTGAGCATGCAGGTTTGTGTAAACAACTTGTGTTCATTGATCAAACTGAGAAGGTTTTATCATTACCGACAAATAGCTTATTAATATAACCCAGTCAACAAGTTTGTTTTCACCACAGGTGAGTAAAAAAAATCGAATTTGTATTTAGAATTAGTTCTGTTTTTGAAAGTTTGACAAAACCTACGTGGGTATTCGAAACTAACATAAACAAGTCATTTGTCAATCGTTTGAGCCGGATCAAAAATGTTTGGGTTATCATAAAGTTATGAGGAAAAAACGAAAAAGTTCACTTGTTACAGGGTGGAGCGGCTCACATGTAAAGTGAAGAAAATATGCCGATAGCTTATAAAATATTGTAAAAAAAAGATTGTGCCAGAAGGCAATCGCAATTATAACTTGGAGTATTCAAAGAGGGATGTGAAGGCTGTCAAGAGGGGTCGGCTGATTATAACGAGAGGGCGTCCGAACAGTTCGCAGTCCCGTTAACCACCTTGAGACGATGATAGCTATTTTCATGAACTTCTGTTCGCTGTTCGTTTTTTGTTAGTAATCAATTTATAATTTTTTGAACTGAATTTCCTTGATCCTCTCCACCCATTGTTTGAAGTAATTTTTCAGACATTTTATGGTATGATCCTCTTCACCCGGGGGTGAAGCGGATCACACTTTATAATTTTTTTAAAAATCGTTCATGATAGTTGAATATTTTATTTTTTCACTAAGCTCTAGAGGAAAGATATAAGAATCATATATTTTTTTCACACTCTCAAAGAATGTACTTTGGTTGCAGCGCTGATTTTGATCCGTTTCACCCCAGTTGACGGTATAGTTTATGCATAGTCAGTTGGAAAAATACATCACCGCAAGCCGTCGGTCCCTTTGAAAGTTCAAAGAGTGCGGCAGCGCGGCCCGACATTCGTTTGATGATCTGTTCAACTGACTGCATAAACTTTACCAGTACCGCGCGACGCGAAGCGGAGTGCGGTTATCATTGAAGAGCGGCAATAACACTTTGTGTTCGAAATACACACATTAATATTTGTCCTACGAACGCAGCTCTTAACCAAAAGGTAGCAAAAGAAAACAAATGAATAAAAAAATACTGGCCCGCCCGAGATTGAATCCGGACCAGTCGCTTGGGTAAGCTGCGCTATAGGCCGCTGGGCTAGGCCATTTGAGTACTTTGATGATAATCTCAAATTACACTGTTATCAAACCAAGAAATCAAGATGGTTCTCTGACTACAAAGAGTTCAAAGTATAATTTGAATTTACCTTGATGACTTCGAGTAGTTCGAGTGTTTGCTTTTTCCCCAAAATCAGTCAGTAACAAGTTATCTGTCAAAATTTACAACTCTTGCCTTTTCAGGGAGTGTGTTTCATAGGTCACTGACAAGAATTTTTCATCATCATGCCAGAATATAAACTGTGGTATTATGTTGGAGACAGCGATGCGAGCGTTTTTCCATTATTTCCGCTCATATTTTGACATTTCATAGCAAACATCAATTTCCTGATTTGACAGCGTCAAAGGCTATTTCGTTTATCGGACAGGCTTGGCCTGTCTCTACTTACGAGACTGTACTTACGAGACTGTACTTACGAGACTATACTTACGAGACTGTACTTACGAGACTGTACTGATACGAGGAGCTAAATCTTTGGTAGAATTCCCATATCAGTCGTGGTCAATACAGTCAAAACATCCTTGAAATCCTAGAGCATAGACCCAGGTCTGTTCCAGTCAGTACTTTAGTACTAGATTAAGTACAATTCGAAGATGTTCAGTACCAAAGTACGTTTTGATGAAATCTAGTTCTAAATGAGTTTTGAGATCCTTGGGTTCACATTGTTCACCAAGTGGATGAAAATAAATGAGGGCTGATATTTTCACAATCACCAGTTGGCGCTACTAAAACGTGAAGTCAGTTTCAAAGTCGAAAATCCCAAAATTTTGCCGGATGGTCGTAACTATAGCCTGTTTCATCGAAAAATTTTCGAAAATAATGGTGTTGTAGAATATTTGAACAAATAGAAAACTTCATGTTGGCGACTTACGTTTTTGTCAATTCTAAAGCGGCGTTCACAACCAAACTTTTTACGTTTTGCTTTTTACGTTTCGTATTCTGATTGGTGAAGCTAAATCTGTGATTCTAATGACGCAAAAAGCTGAAAATATTCAGCTTTTTGCGTTGCAAGAAGCCATCGTCTGTGGAAATAGTAAAAATATACGAATAATATGGAACATTCTGTAACAGTATGAAAGTTATGATAATGTTTTCATGATTTTTTTGTGAATCCACAGAATAATAGATAGGTATATACTGTTCAATTCATTATTTTCTTGTTGAAGATTGATTTTTCTCTTCAAGTATTGAATAAGGATCAATTTTCTTCACCGCCAGTTCTATGAACATTATTAATCATCTGATCAATATTATTGTTATGATTATTTAATTCATTTCAGGATGAAAAACAAATAAAAAAACCAAGGCAACTGAGTTAAAAAAAAATCACATTGATTTTTTGTTGTTGTGAATGACATTTGCATAGGTTTAGTTCACGTTTAATTTCAGATTCTGCTTCACCAATCAGAATACGAAACGTAGAAAGCAAAACGTAAAAAGTTTGGCTGTGAACGCCGCTTTACATTCGGAGAAGATATCGTAGGAATAAGATGCCAAATGACACGAAAATAATAAGTTTATTTATCAGTTCTACCAACCCTGACCTCACGTTTCAGTGGCGCGTTTTGGTGGACGATTAATAATGTTAGCCCCCATTGTTCAAGGATATTTTCTCATGAGTTTGGTACATTTCTTCCATTTTGAAAGTCTTTAAATTACTTTGATCAATTGAATTCCATATTTCATTTCGATATTTTCATATGGTGAAATTATTCCACTTATATTTTTTTTTTGGCGACTTGAAATTGTGGATAAAAACTATGCAAGCACCTGGGGGGCGGCAAGTCTGAAGGAAATTGAAATTCTGTACTGAATCCCAAATTCTAGTACTTTTTCGAAATGTGATCTAGTGCAATATATTTTCGGTCAGGAATAGCGATTAGCATTTAGCATTGACCAAGACTAGTACGCACAGTGGGCTGACGCCATGCAACAACTACCGGACCTAACTTGGCCTTTAAATTTTTTTCTACAAAAAATACTCAAAAATAACTTGAATATATCACGTGGTGGAACTTTGCTTAGTGCCGAAACTGAGGTATTGAACAATTGAGTTCCCTCCGTTTTTTTTTTTTTTGTTTTTTTACCAACACCGCGCATGCGCATTCTTCCTATTCAGACAATGAACAGTTGGTTTGTTCGCGTTCAAAAATAAACAGTCCGAAACCATCCGAAGCATGCGTATTTCCACGGAACTTTAAAAATTCGTCCTGTTCTGTGAAATTGCGCATGCTCCTGATCGTTTCGGACTGTTCATATTTTGAACGCGAACAAGCCTAATGACAGACAAATAATTATTGTTGGCAGCACTAGTTCCCCAAACTTAAGATGATAAGATGGCTACTAAGTGTTACCCAAACTAAAGAATACGCGATCTTGAATTTTAGTTGAATTTGTGTCCCCTGCCTTCTGGTTATGTAGTTTGTGTTATTTGTACTGTTTTGTACTAAAATGTGTAGAAAATAATTGGTGTACAACGTGGGTACAACAAAAATTATATAAGAAACAAAAATAATTGATAGGTACTCGGACTGAAACCTCCATGAAAAAGTATAAAGAAAATATTTGAAAAAGTGCCCTCAATTTTTTTTAGCTTCATAGAATCGATTTTAGGTAGTTGGAAATTATCGAAACTCAATTCACAATAGCTATACAAAAAAAATTACAAATTCATACAATCGGCGATTGTCAACCGATTACCAATCAATATTGGTGATTCTAGTTTTGATGCCTACCTACCTATCCATCCCTATAACTATTTTTATTACATCGCAGAATTCTCATCAGTATGTATAGTCTTTGGGTATCAAATTTGTTCACGTCTATAAAATATTCACGTGTATCCCAGCAAACTTAATTCAATAATATATGGAATAACCTATTCGATTTTGTTACCACACTACGAGGCAGCCATTTTCTTATTAGTGCTTTATCGTTGACTGAAATATCAGAAATTATTGAGATTTACGAATGTCTCCATGATCCTGATAAATTTCGGTAAACTTCCAGTGTATTTCTTTATACTTATTCTAAGGTGGGCTTTCTTTATGTTTCTTTCTATAACCATTAAATCTGGAGATCAAACAGAAATTTGAAATTTTGTTGAAAATTCAAATTCCCACATTTATTTCGTAGCTCCCTCGGAAACGGATATCTCCCGTCACGTTATTTTCTTATTGGACAAAGCTTTTCTCATTCTCTCGCACAGAAATCGTTGGAAACTGGTCCTTATGCTATGGTGTCGTAGACTCGTAGACGTGACGTCATGCTACTGCTCCGTTACTCTGCGGTGTTCGTGATATCTGGTTCTCCACGCATTCGCTATTCGCTTACGTTCTACGTCTACGGTGTCGTTCTGAAATTAAACATGGCCGCGAGTTTGATCTGCGTTCATTGATACATCCATAAAATACTAAGTTGACCCGTTCTAGTGGTCAATCGTGATATTATAACCTAAAATAGTGAGTTTTTAAACTGATTAAACCAAAACGTCTTGAGGTGCTTTAGTTTTTAGTTGATTTGAGGTTTTTAAACACTCCGTTCGTTCACATATCGTATAAGATGGCGACTGATTGTGCTGTTGTTTGAAATTTTTTGATGAACATAACTTTTGTAAAACTTTTAACAATGATTTTGGGGTTTTAGCGTTATGATAACGTTTAGGGGTGTATTAACTTTGTTTGTACATTATTTTGAAGGTGAAAATTCATAACATAGCCCGAAGAATTAATAAAATACAGCTGGAAAATGCCCGAGGTAAGTAACCCCCTGCATTTATTTATTTTGTGGTGGTTTTTTATTGCAAAATGTTTTTTGTATTATTCTGGGTTGCCCTTTAGGTCATATTTCAATGTGAAACCAAGGGCGTGGTCCCCCTACATGTAACATATTATTTTCATTTTCTTATGATATTTTTGTTTACAAGTGTCTTTTTGTCAATATTACCCCTTTATAGGATGTGTTCCACCGTTTTCTTCGTTGATTCAGATTCTGCAGGCCTTCATGCTTCCATTAAGCTAGGAATTTTGAATTTTTGAGATGGACCCTTTTGAGCAATTTTAAGCTAAAGTTTGGGGTTTCAAGTGATGGGATTTATTCTAAACCTTCTTTTCATCATTCCCTCTATGATGTATATACTTTTTGTTAGTTTGAACATCATCCATTGTATTTATAAACTTGAGAAACATTATCATCAACTTTTTTCTATTTATTCATATAATCAGTGATTTTGAAGGGGGCAGTATTTTTTTTAACTTCCAAACTTCTTTATATCCAGCAGGAACTTCATTTATTGGTGTACATATTGAGATAATTGTAGGGAAGTAGCAGTAAAACAGTACAATATGATTAGATCTTTCAGAGAAAAATATTGTAACTTCTCAACCCCTCCCCTCACCTTCAACTAATTTTTTAGTGTTGTCATTAAATAGAGATGAAAATGTTTTGTGATAATGTGAAGAAGTGTGAGGAGTATGATAGTTGGTTTGGTATCCAGGTTCTCAGAATATATTCATAATTTACAGAAAATACCTTGGATCAATATCTGACCTAACCTCAAAAATTTGAGTCACTCAATATTATATGAAGAATATTTTCCCTAATTTTTATGAGTCATAAAAAGGGTGGTCATATTTATTTCATAGTAGAGGAATAACATTTTGACATAACAAATTAGACATTTGTTAAGATAAGTAATACCTATTGATCAAATCTGACCTTGAACTCGTTGGGCCAACTAATGAAGTATTTCTGATTCATTTCTATTGTGTTGAATATCTTCAACTTTCTAAGTATGTTTTGAAAATAACCATTATATTCACCAGCTGTAACTATATGGATCTTTCCAGATGGGAGACGGATCAGACTCGGAAAACTCAGGATCAGACAACGAGAGCAAAAGTGATTCTTCATCAAATAACTCAGACAGGTAAGGTACTGCTGAAGATTCATTTTCAAGTATAGAATTTTCATAATAAATGTATCTTAGTTTGACTATAGCAGCATACCTCGAAAATGCTGATGAAAATTGTCATATAAAGTGAAATGATGTATGAGTGATTCCATTATTTCCAATCTCTCCATATTATGGTGGTAATATGTTATCTAATTTCCTTTTATTGAGGTTTGCTGATGAAATCCATCAAGTTGCAATTAAATAGCTTATATATATATATTTTTTTTTGGTTCAACTGTCTATCCTTTTTCCTTAGTTCCCTTTTTTTGAAGATTGACGAAACATAACTTTTTCTCCATCAATTTGAGATGTGCAAAAATTATGCCAAGTTATGTGAAAAAAATTACTTGGTCAAGGAATTAAATATCTATATTCTCAGAAATGTTATAATTGTCTTTTTCTTAGAGGTAGTAGCAATAATTAGAGATAAAACCTCAATTAGACAAATAATTGAATGAATATTTTTATATATATATATATAATCAGTTGATCATCTGTCTCTAAGATTACTAAGATCTTATATCTACACAGTCAAGAATGTTAGAAATAACTGATATCATTGAAATTATAATTTTCTATGAAGACTATAAAGAGACAACTTCATAGACTCTATATTTAGCCCTATAAGTCCCATCTTGTATACACCATGGTCAAATTTTTCTCCCGGTATTCCTGTGGCTGATTAAAAATGGGGGGGGATCAATATAAGTTTCAAAAAGTGTAACAAGCCACAATAAATTTGAGAGTGGATTGCTTTGAAATTGAAACTTCTGTATGATGTTGGTAGCCTCAATCTAAATATGAATTTGTTATTATTTCAGGACTGTAGAAAAACATATATATTGTTATCCTTTGATGGGGTATTATTTGTTTTACTAGATATTTTATTATTAATTTCCGGAAATAAGTTTTGGAAAATAACTGTTTTTGTATTTATCATCAACCCCAGAAATATTTGGAGATAACTCTGGACCATAGTATTGATCCATTTATATCTCTTGAAGTAGTAGGATACAGTTGGTACAACTATGGAACAAGATTTTATAAATAAATAAACATTGTTAAGAAAGATTTTATAAAAATGCACTACACACACAGACACCCACCCTGAAATAAACTGAATAAAAGCTTGTAATTATGAAAATATCCCACAGCAGAAGCCCCCACATACCAATTTTGAACATAACCGGATCATAATCACAAAACTCATCCGCCATTTTGGAGCCGCTATTTTGAATTGCTCCATTTTGATGAAAGAATCATTATTTCCGACCCAGAAAACCCTCAGATACTGATTTTGAATAGAATCCGATCACAATTACAAAACTCATTCGCCATTTTGAAGCCGCCATTTTTTTCTCTAACAAAAAGTAATGATGTTTTGTCACCAGAATTATGTACACCTACCAAACTCCAAATCAGTCGGACGATCAGAACTGTGTGTCATATTTAATTTGCAAGATTTGGTTACACACAGGCACATCAGGACAGGTGAAAGTGAATAAAAGCTTGTAAAAAAGTTTGTGTTTATAAATAACAACCATTAATACCCATGGACATCCGATGGATTTTCATATAGAATATTCCATGGACGTCCAATGGATATTTTATGGACGTCCAGGTTGGTGTCCTGAGGATATCCTTCGGACGTCCATTGAGTATGAATTGACGTACACTATATGATATCTCAAAATTCCTGAATGGATATCCATCAAACATCCATATGATGTCCATTATGATGTTATTGAATTGTATAATGAAAATCATTTGCGATTATTTGGTAGACTGGGAATAAAAACAAACGCAATTTATTAATATTACAAGTTCTAATCATTTGAAAACTCTAAAAACAATGAATAAAAAACAAATTTATACTGGCAACTTTACTGGTATACGTTTATCTTCTGCAATTATAGTTTATCCAAAAACAATTGCAGAATCTTGCGCCGCACCTGCAGTCACTTCAAAGGAAACTTCAGACACGTCGACGCCGCAGAGTCTGGGATATTCTGCAATTGATATTGAATATACTATACATTCTTTGAAGATGGATTATGCTGCTCTTTAGCTCTCCTCAACCGAACTTTGTTAAATGTATAGCTTCTTCAGAAGATATTCCACTTCCTGAGAATCTATATAACGAGCTGGGCTGTAGGCAGTTCCATCAGCAGGTTGATGAATCTACACTGCCCTCCAGTACATTCGTCTCTACTGATCTTTCTAGCCACTACCAATTCAGGATAAACTTTATGATTCAACAAAAATCTTTGAACCTCACAGTTAACCCAAAATCACATCAGTAATTAAATATTAACATATGGAATGATTTATACAGGGTGCGTCAGATTCTGATTTCTCGAGTCCTATGATAACTAGACACATGATTCTAAAACGAATGTGAACTAGACGAGGATTTATTGTTGCATATACCAGGTGGTCCAAAAATATCTAGACATTGTTGTACAGAGTGGTCAAGCAATATCTTTCAACTTGTCTAATTACAATGTGATGTATAATTATTGGAACACGAACATGAAATTTTAAATTGGTCATTTACACTGTCACACATTCCAATGGTGCTATATGATTTCAATTTGTGATGTGATCTGAATTATAACTTCCTTTATTTATAATTGATTGAAACATAATTATTATGAAAGCAAACAAAATAACTACCATGCGAAATTTGTACCAAAATGAGTTTTATACTGAGGTTTTACATGTCTGTAAATCATGTACAAACTTCAATGCTGCATCAACATCTATCTATCGAGCAATCGGACGGAGAATCGGTCTCTGACGATCTATTGCCCCACTTTGTATACTGTCATTTCAATATTTCAATATATTGCCTTTATCCTATAATAACATTCTCCAATTGGAACTAATTTTGAATATCCGATGATTATCCAATATGGATTTCCAGGATATCCAGTCTTGAATAGTCTATGGAATCTTTATCCAATTTTTAACAATAATAAAGCACTTTTCTAGAATAACTGACATAAAGTAAATAGTGTTTTGCTCAAAATTAAGTTATTAAGAAACCCGAAATTGTTTCTTAAATTACACCTCCACTATTTTTTGGCATTTCTGCATAGCCAGTAAACTGATGAACTCATTGACAAGTTTATTCTGTTCGGTTATCATTTCCAGAATGTTTCCCGTTAATTTTTTGGCACTCTCCACAAGCAACCAAAAAAAATCAGATCTTTTTAGATCTCTGGATGTCCTGATTTTTGTTTCAAAACATCAGTTCTACTTTGTCAGGAAGTTCAGTTGTTTATGCTTTAAATTGAAAAAAAAATGTAAAAAATTACAATAACACAATTTGTTGTTGATTTTTTCGGGCTATAAAGATAGGAAGGCATACATTTACATTTTATTATTGCTTCAGTTTGAAAAGTCGTTATTTTCCAAAACCAGGCATATCTGAATCAAATACTGCAGGTTTCTATCTACTAGATAGTAATATAATTGATTGAATACATCTTTTACCGCAATAACCGAAGCAACAACTCAATTATATAGCAAGGGTTGTAGGTTTTTCACGCAGGAAGTAGATGTTACAGGAGTGTGTAACTCGACGAGTGCGAGCTGTATACTATACTTTTTCCTCGACTAAACTCCGACAGGCAGTTGTATTTTTGAAGGTTTTGTCAATTTCTCTTTATGGCTTGGGGTTTGGGGTTTAATAACTAGGTATAATTGTTGGTGCGACCTATAAGGAAGTACAGTCAGATGCAAAGAATACTCACATGATCGGTGATAGCACTTCTAGTCACTTCTGCAATAAGATCGCTAACACCATCCAACTGCGACATTTCCTTCGCATCTGATAGTTCAGTGAATAGTTATTGCCATAGCCCAAACAGCAACAACTTGTCCTATCGTATCAACTGTACAATGCGTAATGACAAGCTTAGTTAGACTGTCAGTTATACAATGTTGAGAGCAAGCATTGGTAGTAAACAAATAATATTATCTTGAGTTATTGACTTAGGGTTTCTCAATCTATTTGAGTCCAGACCAGCAAGTAATGTAATGATGGGGCGCAAGAAATTCCTTTTTGTTTTTTATTGAGGCGAATGAAAAACCAATTACTGATTTGCTGTAGACATTTGCGGTATCCTCTGAGCTCGCCTCTGAGAATAGTTGATATTGTTTTCTATACAATATACAAGGTGAGGCAATAGTGTGTCGAGAGCCCGATTGCTCGAGTCCCATGTTTGCTAGAAACGTAAATCAATAACGAATGTAAACTAGACAACATGGTCTATGACAATAAATTATTGTCACATACGCGCACAAAGAAAAAGTCTCGAAAAAAAATCTAGAGATCCGAGGGCAGTTTATTTAAATGGGATCCCATGTATATTGCACCATACCTGGAGTATTGACTGTCTCAATCACTTTTTTTATTAAAATAATGTCATTTGCAGATACTAGAAAAATATCTCACATTATTTATCAATAGCCAAAGGATATATTATTGGAGCCATTTAATTAACAGATGTGATATTTTTCTGATTTATTCTCACGCCTCAAAATTGTACAGGGTGGTCAACAAATATTTTTCAATTCGGAACTTTTCGAATGGCATTTTCTAGTTTTCTTCAGATGTTGTGGTCATGTGCTGTAGAATTGGAATATGAACATTTTAAGTACCCATGTCCCACTACAATTTTCAACCATTTTCCAAATATTGAACTTGGAATATTTTTAATTGCTCATTTATACTAATACACATTCCGATGTGTCATATAAGTTAAATTTCCAATTATTATTGATTAAATTCGAGGTTAAATTTGATTTCTCTTTGTGCACAATTGATCCAAACATATGAGAACAAACCGAAACTATAATTACCATGCAAAATTTTTGGAAAAACTGCAGGAACTGCTAAATTGAGAAGAAAAAACATGTAATCACAAAATGAACGATCTATAATAAGGGGTGCACATGTCGCCTAT